GTGGGTTGCCCGCCTGGGCCATCAGGCCAGTGTGCTTCCCCCGCTGCCTGCTCTGTGCTGAGGCCAGGCCACCACCAGCATAACCCCTTGTGCTGGTGAAGGAGGGCTGCCCTATTGCGTGATGAAACACTCGCTGGTGTTTGCTCTGTAGTGGGGGGCTGTGTGACCAGCTTCATGCTGCCATGCTCCTCAGTGGTGGGGCATCCAGGGGATGGGCAGCGGGGGTCATCTCAAGTGTGGAGTTTGCTGTGGCAAATTGAAGTCTTTTTCCGTGTGATTTGGGAACTCTGATGCAGTGAATTTTAATAAATACTAAATTTAATGAGAAAAGAACAAAAGTTGAATCAGTACAGCCATCTCTGGCATTCTCCTTTGGCGACAAAAATCAAGTCTGTTCTTGCTGTCTGTCTTGTTTGTTCTGTAACAAGGTTTTCTTTCAACTGTTTTGTTTTTTTTTTTCAGTGATGGCCAAAGAAAGCAATCAGTTGATGTTTCTCTGAGATAGAAAGTGCAAGTTATACTATTGGAATGTTTCAATTTTGTATGGGATAAAATCTGTACTTGCTCAATACAGTGGTGACTTCAGATGGGGTGTGCTGACCTGGCATCCACTGCCAGCCACCCACTGGTGGTGGGCCGTAGGTGGCCAGTGGGACTGGGGCACTATGCCTTTGTTCTCTGTTTGGGGGGAAGCATGAAGTAAATGGAAACATCTGTTGAAGGCCATCAGCAGCAGAGCAGCATTGCCATCTTCAGTGTTGTAATTACTCTGCTGTAGCTTTCAGTCCTCATTGAATTCACCAGGTAAAACTCCCACTTTCTCCTTGGGTGAGGATTTAAATACATTGGAGACCCTTTGGTGAGCGATGTTTTTGTAATCAGAACTGGCACTCAGACCCTCAGGCTTCTGGCACAGGAAGGCAGAAGAGGCATCGTGCACGCGTACTAACGTACACCAGCCCTGTTACAATAGCACAGGGAGCGTTTATGTCCAGCCTTTCTCAAAACAATGAGGAGCTTTATGGACTTAACGGCTATTTTTTTGTTGTTGTTCATAGATGTTTCTGGTGGGTGAGAACACAGCACGCCTTCTGCACCAGCTTCCTCCTGTCTCTTGGGTACTGCTGAATGCTGGAGGGGATTTTTATGTCAGCCTTTATATCTGAAGAGAGCAAACATGTTTCTTTGTTCTCGTCTGTAGCTGCTTACAGCAACATGAGGAAAACATTATTGTTGAAGTATGAATGGCTGAAAAGCGTGGTGTTTTCCTCAGTTTCGTATAATTTACCTAAGACAACTACAAAGCCTGTGTCAGAGGCAGGAAGAGAGTCTGGAAGACCTTATCTGATATATGTTGTATTCACAGTTTGAGAGTGAGTCTTCCTGCATAAAAGCCCTAGTGGGAAGTTCACTGGAGTCTCATAAATGAGGAAAATTTGAAGAAAAAGTTGAAGGAAACAGAAAAACGAACTGCAGAGGGAACAGAGGAAAAAGCTGAAGAGCCTTGTGGAGATAAGAGACACATAGTCCTCAGATATGCTTAACTGTTGACACCTCGAAGCAGAGCAGGGGTACAGCTAGCCCATGTCACCTACTCTTGGGTGACAGACTTGTCCACAGTCTTGTCTCTAGCCACCTTGAACTATCACTGTGAGCAGAGGTGTGGTGCTTTCAGGGTTGGGTGTGCTGTAGTCTTCGAGCTGTACCTGTTGTTCCTAGGCTGTCCATCAGGGGCTTTCAGGGACCTGTCAGACAGTACTTTTTGTCTGTAGCGTTTTCTAATTCAGAGTTGCAGTTCATGCTAGCCTGCGGTTCTTCAGTTGCTGATCCTCACCATGTTTTCAGTTCCAGAGTGCAACATTTTAATCACTGTCGTGCAATGAATCATCTTATTGATGGTTCAACATCATTTGAGTTTCTTCATGCAAGTTGCTATATTTTTGCATATTATCTAACTTTAAATGTAATTTGAAGGGGGACTGAAGCAGAAATGTGCTTGTTGTAAGGGAACAACTGTGTAATATGTTAAATAAATTCTCGGAGGCCTGTAATTTTATTGGAAAGTTAATGACTGTTGGTTTTTGTCCCTACCTTGAAAGCTCTGAAGCTAATGAAAAGTACACTTCTAAATTGTTTCCCAGTTCACAAAACTCTTCCTGTCATTACCTTATCCAAAAGCCATGAGCTTCTTAAAGAAGGAGAAGAATTTGAAGTTACATGCATAATCACGGATGTGGATAGCAGTGTACAAGCTAGCTGGATTTCTCACAGAAGTGCGGTGAGTACCTTTAATTGTATCGTGTATGCCTCAGCACAGTACACAAACTCTCTGTAGATATTCACATACTTGTCTTAGATACCTGATGCTGTATCAGTTTGGATTTATTGCATTTCCAAAGGTCCCACATCCCACAGGCTGATGAAGGGCCAGCAACAACTGTCCTGTGCCCATGCAGATGTCTGGGAGGAAAAGCATCTGCATGAGCTTTTCTCCCCAAGCAGAAATTAAAGTTAGGCACCTCAATGTAAAGTTTAGGTGACCTCTGTTGGGCTGCCTAAATACGGAAGCATGGAGTGCCTACACATCACATTGCAATCAATGGGAGCTGCAAATATCAACACATGGACTGCAAATTACATATTCTAGTCGTTATCATTAACAGTAAAATACCTGCTAATTAGCGTGGGACTGTGTGTGACAGGAATAGTAGTAAGCATTTGCAGGAATGATTAATTCATTTAAATTACATGGTGTGCCTTACTAACTGGGGAAGTTCTGAAAAATGAACCAGTGAACTGGCTTCTGTCTGTATAGTTGAAGTTACTGCCTGGCATCACCAGATTGAATTATTGGCAGGCTAAGTGCTCCAGGGGAGTTGATTACTGGCAGCATAGCTATTCTGCAAACGAGGGACAGAGACATCCCCTCCCCTGGTCAGACAGGGTGCTGCCAGCTCTGCCTTTGAAATGAGCAGCAGACACTGGGTTGTTTCTAAGGACGATTCTTGGTCTTCTGGGAATACCCTGAAATTTCTATTAATTAGAAGCCCTTGTGAAGACCTGTTAGTAACTCCTGCCATATATGATCCCATGCTAATTGGCTGGTCTTTTACTGCTAATGATGGTGATCAGAATATGTAATTCACAGTCCACATGTGTATGTGTGTATGGAAGAAAAGACTTCTGTGATGCTGTGATGTTTGGATAAATCACATCTCCTCGGGCACATAGTGAACAGGAGGCCTGTTCCCTGGGGCCGGGTATACTGTGCTTAGCTAATCCACTGCCTCTGGCGAAGCTGCTCTCGCTAAGTGCTTGCTGCTCCAGAAATCTGACCACGCAGCTCCGAAGGTTGGGGACGTCTAAATGAAGGTGGCAGGGGACACGCAGATGGGGGTTTTGGTTCTTTGCCAAGGTCAACTGCAAGTCCTTCATCTGAGAACTTAATTTGTTCCCTTACTACCCTCCCTTTTCTTTGTTATGGTGTGATGAAACTGGGGCCTTCCCTTAAGTTTTTGTGCTTTCTCGCTTTTCATTTTGTGAGTAGGAGCCACGAGGAAAATATTTTTGACTGAATAAGTTTGACCTTTCTGTCCTTTCTAATAAATAGTAGAGGATGCTATCTTTTAAATACTGATTTTCAAATTAAATTTTGTACTAGACCAGAACACATTAAATTCATGTTTAAATAGATGCAAAACTACATTTTCTCCTGAATATGTGGGTGGAAAAAGATCCAAACCACTTCTTCCTTGCATGACTGAAGTTATCACCACTTCTGAAAATTAGGAGACTTGTTATAAGCAAACACATCCATACAAAACAAACTTTATTTGTGATTATTATAACTCAGGAAGAATCAAAACTGTGTTGAGAAGATTAAATTTATCTAGAAACTCTTGGAACCTCAAGAACTGAAATAATTCTATTAGAAAATCATAACAAGTCCAGGTCTGCATTTGGATTACTCAATGTAAATATATTAGTCTTTCCAACCACACCAAGCATTCTCACAAAAACTAAAGTCAAGACCTAAAGACATTTATTTTTTCCTATGCATATGTAGGCATAGAGTCATGATATACTTAATGCTTTGAAAAGAGAATGAAGTTTCCACTTGCTTGTAAGATTAAGAAATTTAGATTGCTGTGGACCAAGAATCGGAGTGGGTACCAGAGGAAGGATGCTGTGTAAAGCCTGATACCAGCAGGTCTCTCTGCAGCATGTGATCAGGAGATGCTGTGGCCTCAGGCCATAGAGCAGCCCAGTTCAAAATGAAGCTCCAGCACCTTAAATTCTCTCTTGTCATTCGCTGGGAAGCATTGCAACCATTGGAGAGTTCACTGATTTTTCAGGCGTGACTTTAGTGGTGAACCACACTTCAGAGTTGCAGTGACTTATTACAATAGCTGCAGCTTCTGAGCATTAAGAAAGTCAAGAGCCAGTGGCCGTTTTGCAGCAGCTAGAATTGTTGTTAGTGCAAATAAAACTTGTCAGTTCCTCGCCATCATCAGCATTCGAAATGTAGGCTCAGTGAGCTGGGTCTGACTTTGGGCACAACACCCTTTTCTACACACGCACACATGCACACACGCACACACGTTCTTGCCTTACACTGGAGCTGGAGGAGGAGAAAAATTAGGAATAAGGGGAAGGAATAGGACTTAGGAGAGGACATTATCTCCCAAAGACAGCTGATCACACACTTGTTTTGCATGGAGAGATTCTAGTGACAGGTTTGCCGTGCTGGCTTATTATTCCGGTTTAAAGTTATGAATATTAATATAGCAAAGTTATAATTACTTCTATTTTTAATTTATCTAGGAAAGATGCTGCATACACAGTGTTTTAGATGTTAATTGTTTTTTACCGACAGATTGTTACAAGCAAAAGCAGAAATTTGGGTGATTATGGATACGAAAGGAAATTAACATTGAACATCCGTTCAGTGGGAGTTAATGATTCTGGAGAATTCACATGCCAAGCAGAAAATCCGTTTGGAAAAACCAATGCCACAGTAACCTTGAAAGCACTAGGTAAATAGTTCTTGTAGAAATCTTAACATTTCTAAGAGCGGGAGGTGGAAAGTGAGAACACTGTGAAGCCATCCCTTCCATCTCTCTCCTTTCCCTCAAATCTCAGTGAGTAAAGTTGCTTTATTAAAAGGTTATTGCCAACTGGTACCATATGGGATGGCTTAGGAATTGTGGCATGGATGACTGCTTTAATTTCTGTAACCCTTTGTATGTTATTAGAATGTGATATTAGAACAACCACTCAACTGTGTTTCCATCTCTCTGATTTGTCTCATCCTTCCTGGTTTAATTTTAAATTGAATCCAGTCTTCACGAAGCAAGTCATTTACCTTTGCCTGGTGCTATTCCTACACTTAAGTAATTTGGCAACACAAGCATGAAGTGTATCTTTAATACCTGCCTTCCAAGCACAGGAAATTTCACTGACATCAGCGTGTCACTGTTTTTTACGTAGAAGCTTTATATGTACTTCTATTTAAAATGATGCCACGAGGAACGTTGCAGTATGCATAGGCAGCATGAAATTGTTCCAGTGCTCACCCCTGTAGTATACCCACTATCCATCATTTCCACAGGTTTTGGATCATGTCCCTTAACACTGAGCAAACTCCCTCTCTCCTCCTGTTTAGTAACAGGTTCGGCTAGAGTCTGCTATATATTAACTTTGGTGACACACAGTGTCTTTTGGATTTTAGAGCTGCTAAAATGTGCTGATTTGATAAATTAAGGACAATTAAGAAATGTTAGTGTAGTTAATAAGATCATTCTGAAGAAGTCTGCAGAGTTGCCTAGAGCTGTTTCAGTTCCTTACCATTCAAGGGTGTAGTAACTGAGGGAAGTCTTGGATCCTTTCTCCTTTTCAAATCTGCTTTTTGGCTGCACAGATACTCGTGCAATGTTGGTTGGTTTGCTTTCCCTAGTAAATTAAAGAAAACAGAAGTGTTTGACCTGTGCGTGCCAGAGCAGCAGTGGTTTGAGTGCCCTTAACCTTGATCTGCTGTTCAAGGGGGTAGGGCTCAATGTTGAGGATGTTTCCTCATTTTTTCACAGGAGAGACTAAATTCATGTGTAACAGAGGAAAACAGTATGAAGTATGAAACAAAATCTTTTCCCCCAGGGTAACAATATGAAAGCTTTTGTTATAAGAGGAGGGAAGTTCTTAACTACAGAAATTATTAGGACTATGACTACATGTGCAAATGTGGCTTTAAAAAGGGTTGACTTAAGGTCTGGGGACTAAAATAAAGTACAGCATTATAAAAAGTAGAAAATAAAGTAACAAGTTGGAATTTAGTAAAATGCAAAGTTTGTATTTAATAAAATATGCCAGAGAAAAGCTGGAATCTTTCCTTTTCAAGGTACTTTTCTCTCCCCACCCCTCTCAACTTTGTCTTAAAATAAAATAAACTCTACCTCCTGGATGCTTTTCACCATTCATTGTCAAACTGACTATATTTACCTGAACTGTGACAGCTCTCAGGGTCCTGGGAAGTGTATGGCATGTACTGGAGAGATCCTGGGATTGTATCAGATCCTAAATCACTGTGGCTTTAAAGTTTGCCAAAAGGTTTACAGGAAATAATGGGTATTTTTCATAAATTTCCTGATTACTTTTTTTAATAGTTAATTTACCTAACTGTAAACAGTTTCTAGAACCCTATTTGGGGGACTGATAGCACAATCATAAAACTTTATTAGCAGACTCTTGGGTCCAATTTAGAATCTAGCTTTATACAGAAAATAGAAGAAAACTGTCTGAATAAACTGAAAATCTTCAGTTTCCAGATATAAATATTTTTCTCTTTCCTAATGATGGGGAGCATTTTAGAGCATACCTGCCTGCTGTGAGTTTACTTCATCCTTTCTTCTCCAAAGCATCTGTCAAGCGCTCTGGCAGCTCCATATGCTTTCACCAAGCCCCACTGGCTCTGGTTTTCCTGAGCTCAGGTGCCCAGCTGGCCACAGCAGTTTGATTACTAGAAAGCGGGAAGAAGCAGCGATCTGAGATTGACTTTTGATCTAAATTCAAGCTCTCTCAGTAAATGTGTTTTCTTGTAATTGCAATCTGCCTGTCAAACTGGTAATTCCTGTATGAATTTGTGCAATAGGACTGAAAAATGTGTCTTTTCAAAGTGAATAATCCTGAAGCTTATGAGTTTATTAATGAAATTAAAACCGCTGCAGTAGGGATGCTGTTCCACATGATATTATGGAACAGAACTGCATAATGATAAATGCATAACTGTATAATGATAAATGGTATCTGCCAAATAAAAGATTAAGACTCAGCAGTAGATGAACAGAAATACTTTAGTTTAAGACAATTCATATCCAGGCCTGTGGACTTAACGTGTTTTTGTCTAATTACAGTTTTTAATAGCTTCATTCATAATGTCGTTCTTAATTACACTTGACAAAGCAACCTTAAATACTCTAGTATATTGTCATAAATGATCAATTTGTCTTGTTTTCTTAGTATTTCTTTCATATGAGACAGTTAGCAACTCTGAGTTTTTGAAAATATAAATATTTGAGTAGTCAAACACATGCTTGCCTTTTTCCAAAAGCAAATAGGGGGTATTTGTCACCAAAAGATGGAATTGTTTCTCTTAAGGCACTCAAGACTGCTTTAAGTCCTGTGTCTCATTGCTATATAAACCTAGTGGCCTTGGTTTTGGCAGGTGAGGGTTCAAGTTCTGCTTTGTAGATAAGGTTTCCTCTTTCACAGTTATCTGGATGTTTAATCTCTGATCTTGAAGTAGTCTAAGTGTCGTTAGAGTACTGACAATCCTCTAAATGGCCCTAAAAAAGTTTTTCTTCTCTTCTTATGACCATCAGTTAAAGGATTTGTCCGTTTGTTTGCAACAATGAATACCACAATAGATATAAACGCAGGACAAAATGGAAATTTAACAGTTGAATATGAGGCATATCCAAAACCGAAGGAAGAACTCTGGATGTACATGAATGAAACATTACAGAATTCATCAGACCATTATGTCAAGTTCAAGACTGTGGGCAGTAACAGGTAATATGAGTGCCTGTAAGTGCTATAGATTTCACTTTGAAACAGCAGCCTAGTGTCTGCTCTGGAAAGAGGAAAGTGGAGATGGTGAGAAAATTGTGATTATAAAATAAGTTGTAGTACACATGGCTTACCACAGTAACTGGTTCAAAGTCTGCTAACTTAGACTTGGAGCAGCACTGAGCTAACCACACCATCTGAGGACCGGTGTGCCCACAAGATGCCATCCTGCCCAGTAAGCAAAAACAGGAATTTAAAGTGTTTGTCCACTACCACAGCAGAACCCAGTGCTCTAGACAAAAGCTTATACTTTTAATTCTGCTGGGAACTGTAGTCTTCTGAGCCATGGTACTCCAAAAATCCAGTGAAACACCTAGCACCTATGGCCTGGGTTGTGGGCTTGGGTTCCCCCCTCAGCGAGAAAAGGAGCAGGCTGTGGTGGGTGCATGGGGTCTGAGCCTGATGCTAAGCTGTCACCTGGGTACAAATCTGGGCATTAGGAGTGGCAAAACTTCTGGACACTGTACTGCAAGAGCCATTGTAATGCAAGGTAAGAGTGTCTGCATGGAAAGTGTCTGCAGAAGACTGTGTGCTGGTGATTCACTTCTCAGCTTCCATGTAGCAATTGCCTGTTCACTGCAAGTTGTGAGCATCAGTAATGCTTAGTTTTTTTCTTTACAGTTATACAAGTGAACTTCACCTTACCCGATTAAAAGGAACAGAAGGAGGCATTTACACATTTTTGGTGTCCAATTCTGATGCCAGCTCCTCTGTAACATTTAATGTCTATGTGAAAAGTAAGTAAAGTGAACAGTCTGAAATATTTCATTATCATAGTCATTGTATTTTACACAACATAATGTATGCACAAGATGTCACAGTGTGGTTCAGCATATGAAAGGCTTTCTGAAGTGAAGCACATGCTGGAAAACTATTTAAATGTCAAGATATAAAAGTGCAGAGTACTTACACAAATCTACCTACTATCCAGCATGACCTTACATTCTAGCAAACGTATTCCAGAGGTTACCAGAGAGCAGCTAGATACAGGAAAAAACTGCAGCACCTGAGAACAAGATCTCAAAAATAAGCATGTATCATAAACCTTTGATAATTTAAGGTGGAGCAAGATACATGGGGATTATAATTTGCATTTTTGGCAGCATGGTTAAGCTATTGTTCGTCTTTAATTTGCTTGAGTTGGATGCAGAGTTTGAATGCTTGTCAAAAGAATTATTCGCTTGTGCCTTTTGGCACTTAAATAGTTTTGTATAATAATATAGATCACCACTGGTTTAGAAAAATCTGCGTAACTTTACAAATGCGTGTGCTGTCATCTTTGGGACATGCTTGTTAAGAAAGAGCATCGGTTTCAGTTCCAAACAGCATTCTTCAAGACAGAAGCTAAACGTCAAAATTAATTCAATCAAACCTTCAGGAAACCCTGTCCTTCTTAGCAGAGCCATCCTGTTAGAGCATTTCATGCTCTCAGCAAACAAATATTGGCAGCTGCTAAAGGCCAGGCTTAAGGAAAATTAAACCAGGAGGGGACTGCATGCAAAGTGGAGAAACTATGGTGAGGTAGGCAATGATGCCTTCAAGCCCAGCAGGAGGAACTATGTAGAAAGTGAGTGAATGTGCTACAAATACAGTTCTGTGTTGCTGCTGTGCTTTAGTAGCCATGTGTCCTTCTGCAGGCATAGGTTTATGCAGAGGACTGTTGAGGCTTCCACAAACACACAAAATCCTAGATACTATTTTCTGAATTCTTCTCATTTGTCACTGAAGGTCATCACTCATAGCGTCACTGTTAGCAATGCCATAGTTTGGGTCTAGAAATGTCACCTGGGCTTCTTCCAGAACATGGCATTTCTTTCTTCATCTGTGAATGCTGTCATTTGTATCCTTGTGCCTTTTCTATTTCCCAGCTGTGATTTTTGAGGTGAGGGCTCTGGTTACTTCAGATATCCTTTGCCTCAATGGATGAGTGTGGGTTACAGTCATGAGGGATAATTTTACTATTTTACAGATTAGTGGAGCAAATTGTTGAGCCAGAATTTAATTTCTGGGAAGGAATGTGAGAAATTGCAGGTTGCCTGTGGAACTCCCAGTTCACATGAGTGGATGGCGTTTTTTGACTTGCAGCATCATGTGAGTGCTTGGGGTGAGGGGCTGCTTGTGGTCCCCTCAGCTCTCCCAGGCTCTGTAGGCTGCTTGGGAGCAATCTGGTCACAAGAAGTGAAAAATCCCAACCCACAGTTTTGTCATCATCAGGTGTCAGTTCTTGGTGCAGTGCTCCATGTTGCCACTTTTGAGGAATGTGCTGCTTAATAAAAGCTGAAAACCTCTATAGATGTTGATTAAGAAACCAGACTAGGAAGAGCATGGTGAAGCAGGATGGTCGAGGCAAGAGGGAGGATAGACAGTTTAGTTCTTCTGATTGGCTTGTCCATACAAACATCAGTATTCAAGGCTTCTTCCCTCTTGCTTCAGCTACTGGCCTTGCAAGTAGTAAGATCAATCTTGAGATTCAATGAGCACATTTAAGCAGTCTCACAGAGCTCACGTCACCATGCACTGTGGCTTTGGGTGGACTGCAGCCATTGCTGAAGCATATGGATTTGACACACTTGACTCAAAAAGAGTTTCTTTTGGTGTTTTGACTAAGTTCCTGCAAATATTTTTTCATTTTGGAAAGAAGAAATGAAATAGATTGATCCTTCCAGGGGGTTGTTTTTAAGAAAAATAACCTCTTTTCAGTGGTTTATAAAAATGCTCATCGTTTAGGTTTGGAATACAAACTGCATGACAGAGCCTTGGGCAACATGGTTCAGTGCGAGGTGTCCCTGCCCATGGCAAGGGGGTTGGAGCTAGATGATCTTAAGGTCCTTTCTGACCCGAACCATTCTATGATTCTATACCGTATTATCTGACATAGCAGAGTAACTGCCAAAGGTCAGTCATGTGTAGTGGGTCAGATCCTGATCTAATGGTGCATCCTGACCTGGCACTGTTGTCAGTGGGGATTTCTCATAAATTGCCAGGATATAGCTCATGATGTTTACATGTCTTGGGCAAGTAATCAGCAGAAAGTAATCAAACAGGTAAAACAGGATTCATAATCACGAGAATGTCTTCACATAAACAAAAAGCGATGCTGAAGCAGTGCAGAAATGCTTGCCTTGGATTTAAACACATTTAGTAATTGCATATGCTAATCTGAAACAATACAAAATTGCTTTAAAAAAAAAGTAGTAATTTATAGTAAATGTAACATAAAGTAAGGAAGGAAGGAGCTCTGAAATTAGGAGCCAAATGGAAAATTACAGCTTGACAAGCAGCATGCTGAACGGAGTTGCAATTAAGAATTTGTAGAAATCTCCAGAGTGGCAAAGTACAGTGCATCTATGAATTGGTAGAAGAATCTTCCGACTAGTGTCTGAGTTTAGTGTAAAATAATATCTGGGCTTAATTATAGTCAACAAAAAAATTATCTATGCAGTTGCTCATGCTGCAAAGAGAAAACTGGTGTTACAGATCACGTGGAACCAAGCTCAGCATTTTTTCCTGTCACTGGACTATGCAGTGAACAAGTAAGGAGTCACCATGGTATTATAAAATGATTTGTTCCCATCTAGAAAATGTAGCTGCAGGAGGAAAGCCCTGTCTCTTTGGCTGTGATGACAGACAATACCTATTCAGTGTTACTTCTTAGCCATTCACTTTGTTAACAATGAAGGAAATTGGTAATAGAAAGCAATTAAATGCACAATGATATCATACAGAGCACTGAATTAAAGTAGGAGTGGCCTTTTATAGATTGTTTGATACATTCAGAATCATTTATAAAAGCTGAAAAGCGCTTAATCAACTTGGTAAAATTAGAAGCTTTAAGACGTCTAATGACTGATTATGGATGGCAATATGCATATATACCGAGCAATGTAATGAACCATTAAATATTTAAAGGGTTAAAGCCAAAACAGTAAGCAAAGTCTAGTCATTAAGAGCCTGTCTGATGCCAGGGTTAATGGGGCAGTGAAAGTCATAAAATCTAGCACAATAAAATCTCTTTTAAAAAGACGATGCTTGGTGACAGCTTGGCATCTGTTTGTAAAAGCTAGTCCATCTTTGCTCCAGCATCCCCTGGAGCACGTACGCTGGTGGGTGAGGAAGATGGTCTGGCTGCCAGAAAGGGGTGCAGGTGCAGTGACATGTGTGTGGCCTGAGGTGGCAAATGGCACAGTACAGGGGGACGGCAGTAGCAGCTGCCCCAGTCCCCTTGGGTACTGGCTGCAGGAGCTCTTTGCTGCCCAGACTGCAATACATCCCTTAATTTCTCTGTCCAAGGGAAGCTTGGGAGCCCTCTGTGCTGGTGGGGAGAGACTAATCACCACATCACAGTGTTCCACCAGGCACATACATGTAGTGCTGCTCTTGGGTCTGCTGTTCTCACCAGGCTGCTGCAGGGCTGGACCACTCTGCCTGGGCTGCCAGAGGCATTATCCCTGCATGGCCTCTCGTTCCCCTCTGCTGCTGCAGGATAAGTCCACATGGCCACATAGACTGGCTTTTATCGCGCTAGGTTTTTACACCAGAAGAAGCCCGACTAATGTGGGCATTTTTCTTTCTCTCACTCAAAGTCAGAAGATGGTAGATCTCTGGCAGAAGATGGGAACCCAGCTCTGGCATGGTATTTTTTCCCAGGCTTAATGTTCATATTCCTCTTATATTTGACTTCTAATTTCTCTCATTTCTTGAGTTACATTGTGTTACAGCATTGCCTAAAATATAACATATCCCTAAACAAATTGAATGTGGGCAGTAGATGATATAATTACAATTTCACAATCCAACCATTTCAACAGGAGTTTCAGAAATGTGAATTGTGTGTATTCCAAGAGCACTGAGACTGGGTGAAATGCTGTGCACTCTCAGAAAGTTCCTCACCAAATGGGTAATGCTAAAAATCCATCTCAACATTTTGCAACAATGTTTGGTTCTTGGTGGTTTGCATAAAACACAACATGCAGATTTAGAAATGAAAGAACATTTGGTTCCTGTAACATGAGTCATGAGGATATGCTATGTGATTGAGAATATATGTGTGCTTTATTACCTCTAATTTAATCAGCAAGTAGAATACTCATTAAAAACTAACACCTTGCAGTCTCTGTATGTGGATTTTATCAGAAATAAACCTGTGTTTTCCCACTGTAGTCTGTACAGCTTCACTATTTTCTAGAGTATTAGAAGTTCATCCTACATTCCTGTGAAGTTGTATTAACTGATAATGGACTTGTAACCTTGTACGTGTCAATTGAGCAGTGTCATTGCAATAGAGTCTAGTTTCTCCATTATCTTCTTTTTGGGTGATCTTGTAAGGAAGCTAAGGTAATATTGTGGGAAATAAAGCTTCTAATTCAAGTTTCACCAAGAAAAACAGCTTGCTGTGTTGGTAGTGGCCTTGGCTGAAGCCTATGACATTGGACTAATGACTCTGAAGTCCATTTGATCATTCTAGTTTCCTGCCATACTTGAAACAGCAGCTCCTGAATCAAGTGCAGGACTAGGTCTGGTGTAGGATGTGGCAGGAAGCATTGGCTGGCTGGATTGCTTTCTAAACTACCAAAGTAATCATGAATTATCATTTGTAAAGCTAATATGTTCAGCCAAATATTAGCTTCCTCTGCGTGCAGTGTTTCAGAGAGTCAGGCAGTCGGGCACTTTGGTAGCGGTATCTTAGAGGGACATATGTCCTCTGTGGGGACTGGGAGGTCTGCACTGGTTGTCTTGCACTGTAGTTCCTTTTCTGGTTGCGGTGTAATATTTAATACACAGGGCAGATGTAAGAGAGATGTGGTTTGACAGATTTAGTATGCTTATAACTGTGAAGAAACTGTCCTTTTTACAGGCGGGTAAAGTCATGCTGCGCAGGAACGGGAACTGCACTGTTGTTCTTTGGGTTGTTTAAACTCTGGGCTTTGCTGGTTTAGGATCTTTCATCAAACCAAACACTCAGTAGAGTTAGGTATTCTTCCAAAATCCAGCCCAAGCATTCAGTGTAAGATCTGATATTTTCACAGATGGTCAATGCTTGCAGGGCACCGATTCAGACCTGGACACACTTGAGCATGCAAAGCTATGTTCACCTAAGTAATTCCACTGATAATGATGCACACAAGTTGCTGGGGTGAAATGCAAATGGCAATGCAGATTCTGTGTACCCCTAATGTGTGACCCCCATTTTTGTTTATTGCAGCAAAACCTGAGATTCTTACTCTGGATATGCTTGGCAATGGTATTCTCCAGTGTGTAGCAGCTGGATTCCCAGCCCCAACCATATACTGGTATTTTTGCCCAGGAACCGAGCAGAGGTGAGTTAAGTAAATCAGAGTCTCCAAAGGTTATTCTAGATGCAACTCACCCATTTATAATTAAAAATTAAGAACATAAAATGACTTGGTAACACTTGTGTTCAAATGTTACATCACTTTTTTCATCATTTTGGCATTGCATTATTTGCAGTAGTTTGGGAAGACCATTTCATTATTCTCCTTTGCATTCCATCCTTGAAAGGGGAATAACCAACATTTTCTGCTGCAGAAAAGTAAAAGCCAAACTTTATCTCTGCTGCAAGCTAGCTAAGATTTGCATCAGTTTGGCCCCAGATGACACATGTTCTGTATGCGGTTTCTCAGAATGACAGTCACAGAATCACTTGTGAATATGGCTGTTATCTTCTGTTTATTGTGTAATGATGTAATTTTTCAAGGCATAAAGTAATTAGATTTCTATTCACATGAAGTATATGACAAGTAAACAAGAGTGGAGTTATTATGAATATAACCTGATGTCTAGATACCACACTTCTAAAAAGACTGTAGAGTTTCATTTGAAGTGAGAATTTCTGAAGCACATTTTAAGGTTTTGGTTGAATTCCACTGTGGATGTAGATGTCATACTAGCAAGTCAAGTACACAGTCCCACCTGTGTAATTAGATTTGTGCCTAAAATAATTGTTATTTCCTTGATTTTTTTTTTTTTTAAATAGTACTTCTTTTTTTGGTCTTAACTGTGTGCTCGTGTAGTAAGTATGTGACATATGAAGGAGAGGCAGAATCTTAAGAGAACAGAACTGGTTATTTTCTGGCTGCCTATAAGTCTGATGGCATTGTATGAACATTATGGAATATTTTTTGTGTGCTGTAATAAGATTATGTTTGGGAAAAGTTTTCAAGCGTAGATAATGGACCACAACTGCTTGGGGCTGAAATTGGAGATGCAGGTTGAATGGTACATAACCGTTAGTGGACTTACAGACCTGAAGGTATCTAGCAAAACTCAAACACAAAAGACCTCATGGTGTCCAGTTGGGTCAGGCTGGATGTATGTATCCATTTCACCGACTACATAGAAGACAGTGAGGCATCATGAGTAGGCTGTTTTGAAGATAAGATGGTCAGCTGAACCCCTTTGCAGAGCAGTGTTGTTCAGTTATCTGTCGCTCTGGCAGTGACGTATCTGCCTCAACAGCAGGATCTGTCATCCATTCCATGGCAGGTAACTGTCAGTATTGTTTCTCCTAGGTGTTTTGATTCACCAGCAATATCCCCCATGAATGTCAGTTACACAAATTCGTCAGTGCCATCATTTGAACGAATCCTGGTTGAAAGCACCATCAACGCCAGCATGTTCAGGAGCACTGGCACCGTGTGCTGCGAGGCCTCCAGCAATGGGGACAAGAGCTCTGCTTTTTTCAACTTTGCTATTAAAGGTAACGGCTGGAGCAAATGAGACCATAAAACATGGGTGCCATTCAGCAATTTCTGTAAGAGGATTTTAAGTTCTTTACCTTTGCCATAAAGAAGTTTATGGTACTATGGCTGAGTATGTAATGACGTATTACACTGCATGTTCTGCCTGTCAAAGCATTTCTTTTTTCAGTGTAAGTTTTTCAATGAATATTGTGGTGTCATCTTTTTCCTGCTGCAGATACACAGCATGGTAGGTAGCTGGTTGTCTTCTGTCTGTGCAGCACAGGGACAAACCACCTACAGCATTATATTGCCTTTCCCTCTCTCCCTCCCTCTTCCTGTTGTTGTCTGTTTAAACTGGTTAGGCCATCACTTCTGTTCCAAGGAAAGACTGCATTTTTTAATGTTTTCACAATGTCTCAGGAAAAATGTGGTCCTGAACTTCCTTGGAGCCAAAAAGCCCTGCTGCTGTAGAAGAAGTAACAGCATACTGCAAAAGGGCTTAAGAGTTTTGTAGAAGCATTTGTGGGTTTGTGGGGGGGGGGGGAAAGCGCTAGAACATAGATGACTTGAAATGTGCTTGTAAATCTGTGCTCTTTGCAGAATCAAATGTTCTTCTGCTTCTTTTTTCTCTGTTACACCCAGATGTAAGATATAAACAAATAAACCAGATTTGGGGCAGATGGGTTTTACTGGAATGGTATTCCTTTGCTACTCATCACAACCTCTACTTGCAAAGACTGTGCTGTAGATATCATACTTGAGAGAGAAAAAAGAGAAGAAATTAGGACTTCAGAAAAAAGCTTTCTTTAACCTAACTTGACTGAGATCATGCAAGCCTGTTGCATTAGTTGGTCTTTGTGTCATTCGTCCTTATTGATGAATCTGAGACTCCTTAGGCAACTAACTGGATGGTCTCTGTGTGATCTCTGTCCCCCACAGCTCATTCAGGAAAGCTATTCTGGTGTATCTGGAGCACATCCAGGAAAGTAAAAACCCCAAGTCATGTTTCACAAGGAAGAACCAATGAAAGATTTTCACCTGCGTCTTTTTAATACAGTTTTTCAGTACTGAAGCAGAATTTTCTGTTTCTTTTCAGAACAAATCCGTACCCATACCCTTTTCACCCCTTTACTAATTGCATTTGGAGTTGCTGCAGGGCTGATGTGCATCATAGTCATGATTCTGGTGTACATATATTTGCAGGTAAGACCAGAAGCCCCTCTGCCTGAGTTAGGAAAGTGTGCGAGCTGCCTGTGGAGGCTTCGGGAATGACAGCTGTTCTCCTTCTTTTCCAGAAACCCAAATATGAAGTTCAGTGGAAAGTTGTTGAAGAAATAAATGGAAACAACTATGTTTACATAGACCCAACGCAACTTCCTTATGATCACAAATGGGAATTTCCTAGAAACCGATTGAGTTTTGGTTAGTTTAGATTTATTTAAACTTCATCTGCAAGGTGAAACCTTCAGGTCTCATATGAGACTTTGGTCAAACACAGGAGGGTTTTGTCAAAAAAGACGTGCAATAATGGAGATAATGATAATTGCTCATACTTACCTTGGGACAGAAAGCAAGCAGGCATATCTACAATAGCTTCCCTGATAGCAAAATGAAATATTGAACCCTTTAGGAAGAAGTGCTCCAAGTCATTACAGCTGTTTGTTTGGGTTTTTTTTCTTTATTAGGTAAAACCCTCGGTGCTGGAGCTTTTGGAAAAGTTGTTGAAGCCACTGCTTATGGTCTGTTTAAATCTGATGCTGCTATGACAGTAGCAGTAAAGATGTTGAAAAGTAAGTTGCTTTAATATACTGTACAGTTTTTCTCACTTCCTTACGGACAGTGTGTTACATACTGAACATTGTGCTTTGCCTTGCAGCAAGTGCCCATTTAACAGAAAGAGAAGCCTTGATGTCAGAGCTTAAAGTGCTGAGTTACCTTGGAAACCACATTAATATCGTGAATCTACTCGGAGCTTGCACTATTGGAGGTGGGGTTATCAGCAGATTATTGATTATTTCTGTTTCTCCTTTTATTGCCAGAAGGAGGAACCCTGTGAAGAAGAATCCAGTGCCGCTAAGTACAGAAATCTTAAAGACATTTTTTGTTTAGGCAGGGTGCAGATCATCATGACTATCACCTGTGAACTGGTGAATCTACATTTTAGGCTCGTCCTAAAAGCAGTCATGAGACCACTGTAGCTGCAGCTAAACGGGAGGATTGCTGTTGCTCTCTTTCATTTGAGCCACTGTGTGCTTTCTTCTTGAGAGAAGAAAATGCAGAAATGCATGGCATAAGTTTTTTCCTCAACCACACTTTTTCTCATGGATGAGAGAAGATATGTGAACTGATTCTTGCTGGTATCCAAGGTGAAGTCAGCAGGCCTGTCTTGTATAGTCTTCCAGCCTTCTGTTTGAACTGTAAATGCGTCTGTTAAGGCACCACTGAAATTACAAATTCTAAGCAGCAGAAAGTTGAGAAAAAGACTTTTCCAAATAAAGTATTGCACAACACAAAGGTTTCACGTTTAATGTTAACTTTAAAAGTTTGTTTTCATACATAGTAAAAGCTACAAAACAGCTGAAGTGTCAATACAGTGATACAGTCCTGTATTTTTAATTTATGTGCATTTTAATATGAAAGATGGTGTTGCTTCTTACGCAGATATTTGCTTTTTAAGTTTTTGCTTCATTTTTCAAAGAAGAAGAGCTTGTAAAAATTCACAGATTTAGATGGAGGCAAAACATTTCTCACTTTCACATTTAATGATATAAAAATAGGATGAAACAATTTTGTTTAAGCAGGCGACAAAGTAGGCTCGCTGGCCTGAGTGTGTGTCTGTCTCAGCTGAAGATACGTGGCGTCTGTAAGAAAATCCCACCACAAACATTGCTTTTGCTACGATGAAAGCTGTAATTTTTAACTGCAGAAAAATGGAAATGGACTAGTGAGGTTAGGAAACGGTGGTACAGAACAACCTTACAGATGAAATAACAAGCAGTGCCATTACACATTCAAGGGCCATAGCTGGAGTCATTCACTCAGAAAACATATGTTTGATCTATAAACATCCGTGCTGGAGATGACTTGATTCTCCTTTCTGATTTCATTTTAATATTCTAAGACCTTGTGCAATGTAGCTTTCTGTCTCAGCAGGCTGTTCTGTTTGAATGATTTTTCCTATTATACTGCAGAATATAACACTCTACATCATTTCCAAAACATTACTGAAGGAGTGTGAAGCTCTACTGTAAACAGAAGTGAATCAAAAGGATTAATGTTTGAAGCTTGAATTACTCTAACGTTTGGAACAAATAACTTCCTTCAGGAAGTGAGCAAAATCAAACAGATGTGTCTGGCCAGAAACATTATCACATGAAGAAAGAGAAAAAGACCTTATTTGTTTAATTTTTGTACAATGCAATGCTATTGAGGGGGATGGAGGGAAATTAATTGGGAGTAACACAGCTTTAGCTGGACCATAGTTGCTGATCTATGAAAGAAGAAGATACTGTGTTACTTTTCTATAACTTTTCAAGTCTAGACAATGCTAGGCAGTGTGATTTTTAATAGTCCAGCTTGCATGCTTGGCTGAATGCTATCTTTATGTAAGGCTTTCTGCTTTAAAAACAATACTCACCTGCTTTCTAAACGTTGTGTGCATCTACAGGTCCCACTCTAGTCATCACAGAGTATTGCTGCTATGGTGATCTTTTAAATTTTCTGAGACGGAAACGAGATTCATTTATTTGTCCAAAACATGAAGAACATGCAGAAACAGCAGTTTACGAGAACCTTTTGCATCAGGCAGAGCCTGCAGCGTAAGTATGATCTGCTGAAATGTCCTTGTGTTTTTAGAAGATTGGGAAGGAGGAGATACCGAAGTTTATCAGGGGTAAGAGATGTGGAGAAACCTTCCATGCAGCTGGCTTTGAAGAGACTTTGCTGGGCAAGGAAACAATTTAATTAAAGAGACTATTTGTACAGTGGGTGTTTTTTTCTAACAGAGTGCGATTGATTGTAGACACTCACTTTTTTACTTTATCAAATTTCCTGTAGTTATTTCATGCAACTCCTTGGCTCCAGTCTTTGTACGTATTTGTGTTTATCGTTCCTGTTAAACATCGGCAGCACTCATTTAGCAGCTTGAATGACAATTCCCCCAGTGTTGGGGTTTTAATACTCTGAGTTCTCATAAGTTCCTGCCTTCAGAAATGGCTTCTTACAAATTCAAGCCAGTGCATTACAGTATTAGAGGCAAGCTGCCACCTATACAGCTCGCTAGATTTTGTGATGACATGGCCCATGTCACGATCCCGAGATTGCTCTTGTACTTTGTTTTTTTTTCCATTTACTTCATCTGTGTATTTTTAACACTCTGTTTTAGATACCAGCCCAGAGCTCTTTCCAAGTACGTTTCTAAGCAGATTTCCTGCTCTCTCCTTCCCTTTGCAAAGTGAGGGGAGACATAATTTGCCAAAACCAAGGGGCTGTTACAGTACCTGCCCATTTTTATTTTTAGTCTGTTTATTGCCCTGGTGGGACCATTACTTTGTGTTGGCAAACACAAAAGAACCAGGCAGACACTTAGGAGGTGGTAAAGTCCTTTGTCTCATCAAGCTGTAGAACTGGTGGAGCTGTTTGTGCCGTGGATTGTTGGTAATGGCCCAGAGGGGTTGGGACTATTGAGGTGATGCATATAAAGCTGTGATTTGCCTTTGGAAGTGTGTCCTCTTTTCAGTGGAGGAACCTCACTGAGCACAATTTGCAAATTGAAGTATAAACGACAGAGTATTTACCAAGTTCTCATATTAGTATTTACTGTAAAGTTGCAGATGCTAAACACATCAGATGTGTTCCTGGTGGTGACTGAAGCTATCGGTGATCTCGTTACTCCTTTCCATGGTAGCTCTGTGGCTGCATTTATTGTTCATAAACTAAACAGATATTTCAGGCTAAGGAAGGGCTATGTGTATGAGTTCTAATGGCGATGAAGTGAAAAATGCCAAAGTACATCCATCATTTCTAAAGGTGCCCAAATGCGTATTTATAAACTCTATAGGATGAAAATCTGTACATTTGAATTATATATAGCAATAAGAAAACTTCAACTTAAAAAAATGTAGCAGATGGTTGTCCCAAGCGTCGTCTGATTCTTTGAAATACGTATGAATCCTCTATGGTACTTGGGACTGAATTTAACATTTTTTACCATTTGTCTTCTGCATTTCAATTGCCAGTTGAGTTGCTGAAATATTCTGGTAGAAGTTGGCCTAAGCAGAAGAAGTAAGCACTAGCAAATCCTGTAAAACATCTGGATGTTAATTTATAGAGTGAAGTCTGTATAAACAGTGTATATATGAAAGGTTTTGTTTGCTCACCTGAGCCAAACTCCGAACTTTGAGATGTATCATTAGCTGTACTGACAAATTATACAGGCTTTCCCTCGTCTTTTTACACACCCATAAGTTTCCAATCTACTGATCATTTGTAAAGCATTATATTCAGAAGGTTGGAGTAACCTTGGCTTTTTGTTTGGATGGCTTTTGAGGCCCTTTTCACTCAACTATGTTTCATTTCATCCACTGCCTCTATAGTGATGTTGCCAATGAGTACATGGACATGAAACCGGGAGTGTCATATGCAGTCCCACCAAAACCTGATAAAAAAAGACCAGTGAAGTCTGGTGAGTACACTGATAAGGAATATTGTTTGCCTGTGGGAATGCAGAGAGAGGCTTCATGGATTTTTTCAGTTTTATCATACTTTTCTCTCATGGATGGGGACAATTAAAACTCACTGATTGATATGAAAAGGCTTTAGAAAGAACAGTATGCTGAATTACATTGTCTTGTATTTCTCCACATTTAAGTGGAGTACCAGGATTATTTTCTGCTTTTTGGTGATGGGCTATTTATGTGACTCTAGTCTGGTACTTATTTAGATCACTGTTTTATTTTAACATTAAGACAACTCTGTTTCTAAATTATTACAGTTGCTCCACTCAAAAGCTGTTGTTTATATTGTGTAGGATCCTACACCGATCAGGATGTTACTCTTTCTGTGTCAGAAGATGATGAACTTGCTCTAGATGTTGAAGATTTACTAAGCTTTTCTTACCAGGTGGCAAAGGGCATGAGCTTCCTTGCCTCCAAAAATGTAAGTTAAGAATTTTTTGGAGCTGGACTGAATCAGTAGATTTCTGATGTCCTCTAGCATCACTTTCAGTGTTTTAATGTGATCTGTGTGTTTAAATGGTGAATATTTCTGTGTTCTTTTCAACAAGGACTGCAAACTGACATGTACCTGGAGCTTTGGCTAATGTTGGAGTTCTGTACTCTGCTCGTTGGCCAAAAGTGGAGGTTTATATCCCATAAAACAGAATACAGGGTGCACAGTAGTCAACATCAAGCAGTGCTATGGCACATTCACAGTTCAGGCTAGTACAGTCAGTGGCCTTGCTCATGAACAGAAACTAGTCATAGAAATGTCAAGAGAAGAGGCAGAAGGGAGGAACTGCAGTGAAATATGTTTGATGCACCCTGAGGCTCCACTGATTAATAATGTCATGTTCTGGGAGACGGCAGGTACAGCTGAACCCTGCTGAGCTTCGTTGGTGCCTCTTACGGGTTCGATCTCCAGCCCTTCCTTGTGTCCTAGAGCACACAGAACTCCTGATGGCTTTGGAGGCAGTGAATGTAAACCTCAAGGAGTTTTTTCTTCAGTCTTCTCTGGGGTATGGGAATTAAAGGGAATTCAGGGAAAAAATGGAAACCCAACATGTGGACTCCTTCAGGAAAACAATAAAATCTTGAGAGTTTAAGATTCATTCTCTGTGGCACTGCCGGAGAATTTACAAAATAACACTATGAAGACAGTTTTTCAACTCTCTATTTGCATTAGTTCTAAACTACACTGCACTCGCTACTTCTCTCATGCAGAATACTTCCTTAAACAGGAGAGGTATCGCACTGTGTGCTTTTTTGGGTTTTTTTAGCAGTATGGTGAAATGCACAGGATATGTCTTGGTTTTTAATTTCTGGAAAGATAAAACCAGCCTAGAGACCCACAAAGAATCTTCACAGGCTATCCTGAGCATTATAGGCATTTCTTTGGTTTTCGTAAGGGAGGTATTGCATAACAGAAAGAGATTTATAATAGAATAGAAGTCTTAAGCACAGCATAATTGTGATATTCGTATGGTTGTTCTTACATTATATTGGAAAAATGCTATTCAACTCATAAACATTGTAAGTAATAGAGACAAAGGATAGTACAGGTGCACCTTCGATAAAGAGCAAAACCAAACACGCAGTTTGACAGAAATGATGTAATTCTAGGATCCTGTGTTAACGGTGGAAAATGAGGGTCTAATTCTGCTCCAGTGGAAGTCCACATTAAAACGTGCTTTTGGACTTGTTTTTTCTCCCACTGTTCCTCCTTCCAAACTCTTTAGTTTAATTTTCATCTACCAACAGCTTTAAAACAGGCCTGTGGGCAAACACACATTACAGATTTTAATGGTTTTCATCAGGCTCCTCTATCCTTCAATATTCAGGACATCCACTGCTTAGCACACATTCTTTAGTTCTTATCTTCCTATAGAATAGCCCCAGAATTCACTATGCATCATTCCTGGGGACTGTTTTCTTCATAGTTTTTCCATTGATACAGACAGACACTGTGGCATTGAGTAGCAAAGGCAATAATGAATGTAAAACCACCTGAACATGAGGTTGGGAAGTAATGGGCAATATTGCTTTTGCAGTGCCGAATAAGCAGCTTTATTACAGAATTCAGCTGCACTGCACTGACACATTGTTGTGCTTGGACCTCTTCAGTTGTAGTGTATATACGTGCTCTTAGCTCCAGCTAGTAAATGCAGAGTAGTGTGGGCTGATGGATAAGATGCCTGAGATTGCCTCACAGCCTCAGGGAAGGAGGGTGCATGCAGGTCAGTAGTGCAGAGTACCCAGCTGCTCTTCTGCAACTTGCTTGCCTATCAAGGTTCAGATGCATAAAAGTGCCTCTGTGCAGGAGTCAGGATAGGAGTCTGTCCTGGGGGAATAATTCCCTTATTAAGCATGTAGTGACTTAATCACAAGACAGGGCTTCCTCCAATGGACAAAGTCTTTATTCAGTGCAGACTGCACTGATTCTGGAGGAACAAGGCAGAGACATGATGGATGCTTGACGATTCCTTCACTTTACTGCTTCAGTGCGGTTATGCTCTCACCTTTACATATGCAAAGTGCAGAATGTGTTGGACTGGGAAGTGAACGAGAGCCCCTGAGACAGTAATTGTCATTAAAAATAGTTCCTCATGTAAGCATGCATAAAGGACAGAGATTAAGGGGTTTATGCAACCTGCAGTTATTTTCTGAGTTTGATTTGCATAATTCTTGATATTTTAAGTAATTTTTTGTAGGGAATTCCTAAAGTTTCATATTTCAAGGAAAAAAAGACAAATTGAACCATCTTCAGGTATTCTTTAGACAGCTTTGGCCTACATACTATATACCATCAGTAAAGCAGGAGCTTAACACTCTCCTTTCCAGATGGAAAAAGAGATAATTTTGTCAGGGAACTGCCTCTGTTCTCTTAATAAATGCAGGTGGTTTCCACAGCTGCATACAAAGGAACACAACTCATGGAAAACTCAAGCACCCATCTGGAGCTTGGAAAATGTATTCCAGAAAATTGGAATATAAGCTAGCTAGGTCACTGAATGCATGACAGTTCACTGAAAGATACTGGCGTGTGAAAATTTATAGGATTTTCAAATACTTAGGTGTGCTTATAAAGATCTCATAGATACTTAATAATTCAGGTCTTCCAGAGGAGTTTTTCTGAACTGGGATTCAGTTTCTGAGCTGTTGGCTTTGAGTTGTTGCCATAATTCTCCCTATTCTCAGCTTTTCAGCATTTTTCCCTCAACCACAATAGTTATTAATGGAAGATTGGAATTATGTTAGAAGCAAACCACATTTTCCCCTTATTTGTCCTGTGTTAGGGAACAAAGCAGTGATTTTTTTTTGTAAAATGTCAGAGAAGTATGTGAAACTTTAGCTGCAAATGTGAAACAGGAGAAAATTGAAAGTGACTGCAAATGCTCTTTTCTAAAATAAATGCATAGACAACCTTAGCAATGTGGATCAATGTCATGATAGTAAAGATACTACACCAGAATGTTTAATCATCTGAGTAAGCTTATTAACACATGGCTTCATTATGACTTTCAGCTTGCCATAAAATGCATAATTCAGTAAGTTATATAGCTGAGTATACATGTAACCAAGCAACAGCCTGTTGAGATTATTATAAGATAGCTTGCTTTGTTTGTTATTTAGTGCATTCACAGGGATCTGGCTGCAAGAAATATTCTTCTCACTCATGGTCGAGTAACAAAAATCTGTGACTTTGGCCTGGCAAGAGACATAAGAAATGACTCCAATTATGTGGTCAAAGGAAACGTAAGTATATATGATACTTTATCCACCTGTTTTAAGTTTTTGGAGTTCCTGTTGTCTTGACATGCAAAGAAAGGTCTTAGACAGAAATCTAGATTTCCCAATTCTGATATATATCCATGCTGGTCAGAAACATTAGGAGGGGCAACTCCTGATGTAGATGTGTGTGCTGACAAAACCATTGGTATATATATATGTGTTGTTATACTGGAAAAAAACATGCCAGTGTCTAAAAGTGTGTTGCAGTGGAGGAGATGGTTTTGCTGCACCAATATAATGTCAAGTCTTTCTGTTACATCTCACTGTACTAAAAGTTATAGCTCTGTGAATAATTGCAAGTTTTGACATTGGAATATGCTGGTAGCTCAATCTTAAATATAAATATTTTGAAACTTGTTGTCTCTTGGCATTGCTATATTTGTGTATTACTGAAATAGTTCATTTTTAAAATGTCTATATCAGCTGGGGCTTGCATCCTTTTCTTTGCTGTAACACATCACTCAGACAATGGAAACTGGATTCTGAAGTGTGAATTTATTGATTAGGGCATAGTGGGAGGCAAAAATCCATGGTTTCCTTTGATTTTGTAGCCTGAAAGGGTCAGAGCAGGATAGGCTGCAGCTGCCTGGGGAGGGAGAGAGGAGAGGAAGCAGTGGCTGCAGGAGGCATCTAGTTGCATCTGGCCTGATCTTAAAGCAAATCAGGAGTGCTGGGGCATTGCTGGCTGTGGATACTGCTGGGAGGCAGTGCTGATGACAGTAGCTGGGGGCTTGCCCAGGAAGAGTGTTTACTGTCTGTGTTGTTCAGGAAATAAACAACTCTGGTTGTCTCTCTAGTGAGCCAGCCCATGGCAAATGCTTCTCTATAGTATGGCTGAAATAAAACTTTTGACGTATCGTTGCAAGATCACGTAAGTTTTCTTCCACAGTAGGACAAATGTTTAGAACAGAAGCCTGACTGGTTCCTACAGTCAGACAAGGAAAGGGCAAAGCAGGGAGAGGAAGGTGAAAGCAAATCCAAAGGCTTTCTGCACCCTTCCCTCTGCTCCAGTTAGCATTCCCAAGGGATGTCCCCACAGAAACTTATGAAAAATCATAGAATCATAGATTTTTTCAGGTTAGATAAGATCTTTAAGATTACTGAGTCCAATCATTAACCCAGCAGTGTCAAGGTCACCAGTAAACCATGTCCCTAAGTGCCACAT